CTCTGTAGATCCATTAGTTATGTTAAAATCCAATCACATAATCAAGTTGTGTGATTGGATAATAAATTATGTTTATCTATTGTGTTTATTTATTGTGAAAACAGATGTGTCCAGAAAAATTTCTCTAGATAGATTAACTGAGATTCACTGAGAGAGAAGGTAATTCCTAGGTAAATATACCTGTTGAAAGAAGAGAACAAAAGAAACACCCAGGTACAGATGTCATAGCATACACTCTGAGCATTAAGATAACCCAACATGTCTTTTTAACATGACATTTCAAATTTGAGACAGACAGTTGTACTGCATTAATTGGTCTAATGGAGTACTGGGAGAACTTAGTTTGGGAAATTTAGAGACACTAGGCAATCCTGCATAGGACACAGCAATTATTACAAGGTGTGAATCTGTTCTATCATGTACTTTCATGTATTAGATTTCATAAAGAATCTACATGACAATATTATATGAACACAGTTCTGCAGAGATCTTGAAAATATTCATTGGTTTATCATAATAAACAGATAAAATCACCACCAGAAAAGGACCTTATACCTGCCAGTTTTAATTATTCTATACTCATTAGAATCATGTTTCTGAAAGTGAAGAGCCATATTGCAAAAATTGGATTTCACCAGCATAGTGCATGGCAAACAGCTCCAGTAAGCTTTGAAACCAAGTCAGAGTTCTGAGTGTTTCACAACTTCCAAAACTTCAAATAAGAAAGAAAGGCTACCCATGATAGTCATCATTAAAACACATTGATCTTTTTAATAAAAGCCATAAGGAAAAAAATGCATATTTCCTATTTTCTTTTTTTTTTTTTTTGGTATGTGGTAGAATAAGATCTGATAACAGCAGTTCACTTCAGCACCTCAGGTGCTTCATTTTTAAGGAGCTGTTTACACCTTGCATAATAAGCTTTCAGGTTTGAAATCTAACAAGATTTCACATATATTGGATTGGCAAATCCCAATAAAACCCCCCATATTCCTTCTATATTAAAAGGATTTTTTAAAAGGAAAAATAGGAAATGTCCCTTCATTGGGGATGGATTCAGATAAATATATGTACTTTTCTTCAGATTAGCTCTATTTGTACAGCTAATACCTTTTCTTCAATCCTATTTCAATGAGTAGTACGCATAAACATTTATAGCTCCTAGCATGCATGGAGTAAGAAATCCAATTCATACTTTCATCTTTGAAGTTTTTCCTTTTTTTCTGCCATATCTGCTATTTTCTAGCGCAAAACAAAGACAATTTGTATATTTGAGGGTGCAAGTGAACATTGGTGCTATAGTAAATTGTGGGTCTGGAGTTAGAGCAACACTGTAAATAGCAATGGAAAAAATGCAGACAAAATGAGTTAAGTAACCAGAGTGCAGGCAGATTGGTCCCAGTGTTTTACAGCCATCAGATGAAGTGCTTTGCATTAGTGTCCTTGACATGAATTAGGATTTTCCTGCTATACTTTGTATTACATTAAAATGTACTACTCAAATTGCATCTTAACTGAATTATGTGAATGCAATGTATACTTGTCCTTTGGGTACTTCAATGTGCATCTTAGAGTTTGAAAGATGCCTTGGACATCTCTGTTCTTTGGGTTTAAACTAGTGAAGATCACTATCAATAGCATTTAATTTTAAGAAGATTAAGAGCACTACACTGTTTTCAAAACAGTAAAATAACTTCAGTTGGTTTTGTCACAGGTGCATCAGGTATTTGTGTGTTTTCAACAAAGCCGAAGTGAGAGCCAGTAAAGCATAAGACCTGTTCTTTAACTTCCAAGAGCAGCTTTTCACAGAATATTCGATGCCTACTACATGCACAGAAAAATTCAGAAGCAATTAGCTGACTGCATGCACAAAATCCTTATGTTCAAACATTTCTGTCCCTGTAACCATCATCAAGGAATCGCTTTTTAATCCTTCATCTTGATTGCATTATGGCTAGAGTGGACTGAACTAAACTGTCTTTGCAGGAGGCTGAGGCAGCTTTTCACAGAATATTCGATGCCTACTACATGCACAGAAAAATTCAGAAGCAATTAGCTGACTGCATGCACAAAATCCTTATGTTCAAACATTTCTGTCCCTGTAACCATCATCAAGGAATCGCTTTTTAATCCTTCATCTTGATTGCATTATGGCTAGAGTGGACTGAACTAAACTGTCTTTGCAGGAGGCTGAGAAACATGAATGCATTATGGCTAGAGTGGACTGAACTACAACTGTCTTTACAGGAGGGTGAAAAACATGAAGAACAAATTGTTTAAACTACACTTTTAAATTACTTACACTAGAAACACAGAATAAAACCAACTTTATTCTGTAGGCCAGATGATCTGCATATACATATACAATCCCCATATCTACACATGTGCAATTTTGTCAAAACCATTTGCTTGGAATCAGATTCCAAATAGTACTTACCCTGAAACAGAGTAATAGTTTTATACAAGTATGTCACAATGAATTTCACTCACTTACTTCAAGCATCTTGAACTTGAACTAACTTGCATTAATTAAGTCCAGCAAAAGCTTGTTCAAGTCCTTCACTAGTACTACTATGAAATGATCTTAGTATTTCAGTGGAGGATCAGAATTTGTGGTATGTTCCCAGAACACTCATCTAGGTTACACTTCACAGAAAAGAGCAAATACTTGAAGTAAAATATTGACCATTAAGAGATTACAACAAATGGTCAGATAATATGAGTGTTCTCCCTAGAAATAAAAAGCAGAGTCTTGGCAAGGAGATTTCTGTCCTTATCCCTGACAGTGGCTCCTTCAGCCGTTCGTACTTAGCTTTACTTAGTAAATAGTAACTTTCAAGTAACAGTGAAATATTTTCTGTCTTGTAGCCAGAGTAGCATGAGTACATTGATTACAGTTGCATTATGATACATTTCCTGCAGATGTAGAAGTCTAGTAGAGGTTTTGCTAAAGTTTTAAGAAGTCAGGGAAGGAGAAGGAGCCACAGAAGTTTTAGCAGCATTCATAATCCATTTTGCCATGGAAACTGCTGCATTGTGGAATCCCAGTCTGCTTTGAGCAGAGGTTACTAAGAAAAGAAAAGTAGACAGCTGTTAGAAGGCTATCAGAGCAATTCATAATGGAAGTGATAGGAGGGTGATTAGCTCCCACATCTTCTTTCCTCTTTATCATTAAATCATGGCATACTCCTAACGTGTTGCTTTTTCATGGCAAGTGATTACTGCAATTTTCTTACTGAAAACTCAGAGATTAGTTTAGAATGTGTAAAAAAAGAACATTGATACTGTGCATCCTTTCAATAACATCCCTTACTTCAATAGCTTGTGCCATTTTGTTTACCTACTGAAATATATCCTTGAAGATTAAGTACATACACTTAACACGCGGCAGCTGCCAAATCCTGGGAGATGTTTCCCTCTAAAACTGTCACTGCATTAATGATAGTAACTACCTTGGAAATTATAGATTCTTCAAAATAAGGTTATGTTTTCGAATCCTCTGAATAGGAAGCAGTGTAATTACTCACTCTACAAGGAACACTACAATAAAGCACACCAAATGTAAGTGACTAGCTAAAATTAACTAACCTCACTGAGTGAATCAGAGATTCTTTTTATGATGCTGTCCTACAAAGTGATATACCTAAACTTCTGGTAATTAGCAGGAAAAAGTTACATTACCTGAGATGCCATCCATTCTAGGATCATAAGTAAATAACCTACCAACTCCATGTGTGCAGAAATATATGGTATAGACAAGTAATTGAGGGGAAGAGAGGTACTATAGCTAACATTAGATTAGATGAAACTTGTTCAGTAAAGAATTCACATGCAAGAAGGGAAAAACTAAAGTCAGGATCCTGCTAGAAAAATATGACAGTATATATAAAACCAAGTAATTGAAGTACAGTCATTTGATGAAGGAAGAGACTGCTGAGAAAGTAAGAAGTAAGGAAGTAACTCACTTGTGTGATATCACTTTATTCTTTAGCAATAAGAGAACAGTTCTCAAACTGAGGACTGACTTTTCAGGAAGGCACAGAAATTGTGCTGGGGTAGGGATCCCTTGCTGGTGGAGAACTGGGTTGGTGAGGGAGATCCAGTATGGTGGGTAGAGCAGAGACTTCAGTGGAAATGAGGCTAACGTTGCACACATCCCACAGCAAGCAGTACAGCTTGAAAATTCTGGAACAGCCAAACTTTCTCTACACAACAAATGCACATCTGTTTCCCTTGCCAGTCCCTGCCACAGTTTTCTCTTCTAGTCTGTGTAAGTATTGCATGATTTGTGTTCAGACTGCGCTGAGGGACAGAAACATGAAATACATCCTGGCAGATTTGAGGGGAACGGAGGAAAGAAAAGATGTTACTGTTGCTTTAATATAATCAGGAGGGGAGTTACCATCTGTACAATATCGTGTGATTGCAACATAATTTTGCTCAGTATTTCATTGTGACAAAAACAAAGTTCACAGAGGGTGATTTATTTGGTGCATGAGCATTTGATTAGAGGTGAACACAAGCAAGTAAACTGAGACTTGAACACTTAAAGATGTGAACAAGGTAGAAAAATAGTAGAATTATTAAGATGCCAATTTTACAAGATGAGAGTTAAACTGATCTGGAAAGTTCAACCTGAATATGAAGGAAGTCTTCTCTACTAAGATGCAAATATGAGAATAGTCTTCCAATGAAAGTACCAAAAGCATTGATGCTTCCTACCCTGCAATGTAGACTGTTCAAGAAATAGGAGGATGATTCTGCATGTATAGGGAATAAACTAAAGTTTTTAGTTTGTTGTTGTTGGGTTTCTTTGTTTGTTTGTTTTGGTGGTTTATTAATCTTTCAACATTAGTCATTCAAAGGCAAGTGAGCTTTTGCCCAAACACTCTATATGTTCCTCCAGTTATATGTAAAGAAAAGATAATTAGAGAAACAAATTCTTTTGAAATATTAATTATCTTTCATATCCAATTCTAATACTTGCTTTTATATTTCAGGGTGCAAGTTGAATTCTATATGAATGAAAACACATTTAAAGAAAGACTGAAGCTCTTCTTCATCAAAAACCAAAGATCAAGTAAGCAGTTGGATTAATTTCTGTTAAATCATATTTGTGATACCAGCCAAGTTATCATTAATTTTCTTCTGAGTTGAAATTTTACCCTGTAGGGGAGTCAGTTTCACATAATATCCAAAACAAATTCAGAAAGTTTAAATAGAATTTGAAAACAACATACTTATTGTTTAGGATCAAAAGATAGGAAAAAGCTGCAGAAGTACCAAGCTTTTTCAAGAGTTCTATTTTGTTAAGTATCCTAAAATTTCAAACCTGATCTGTACTCGAAAAGAAAAAAATTGAAAAGGAGACTGATAGGGAGGACATACTTCCTTCTGGTGTGGTAACTCAGAATTGTAGTCCTTTAGCCTATAATCTAATTGAAAATGTCTCCATTGACATATGCACTTAAATTCATAGGCTATTATGGAAGAGAATAATGTGGAGGAACTAGAGTATTACTCTTTTTATACATCCATGCAGTTGGTCCAGGGGCTGGAAACACGGAATATGGTCAAATCTTGATTAGGCCAGCGGAGTTCATAGCTGAGAAAAGCAGTAATTAACTTCAATTTTCTTCTGAGTAGCAGAACTGAATTTACATCTATTTCCCTTGCACTTGTAAAGAACTAAAATTACAACAGCTGTATACATAAAGCTTTTAGAACACAAAGAATGTATTTTGGCCTTTGTAATACAGTTAAAATTCTTAAGTGATTCTGGTTCTGGGGAAAGACAAAGGAGAAAAGAAAGAACTATATTGTTTCTGCTGTCCCAATCTAAAAAAAACCCACATGAACAGAACTGGGGAGATTAGATCAAGTTTATAAAAATAAGACATACAATAAGATCTTATATCTCTAAGAGCTAGTATTAAATGGATACTAGTTTTACATCACAGAACTTGGTGTATTTATTGGCTAAGCTTCTTTTATTTTCCAAGTGTAATAAGCAAAATAATCCCCTAAAAATAATAAAATAGACACCATACTGTGAATAACTAATATTTTCTATATGGACTCCGGTTTTTAGCTAGAGAATCAAGTTTAACAAACCTTCTGGAGGTTCAGAATTGCATTATTTATTACACTCACATAGACACACACCAGAAATTCATCTTAATTCAGGTACCGAAGTAGCATAGAAAGCAGAGGACTACCTTTGCTAGTAAATGATGTGGATAGCCACTAGAGTACCAAATGAAAAATTAAAAAAAAAAAATCCCAGATCAAAGTGGTCAGAATTGGTAAGTTCAGTTAAACACTCCTTCTGCTTATGCAGATCTTGATTCTTGTCCAAATACTCAGAACCAGAATCCTCCAAAGTGCAAGCTCCAAAAACCTGCTGCTGACATAGAAACCTGCCATTCATTCCATGTACTCTCTCAATCCTCCATTGAAATTGGAAATCTGTTGCCCAAAGGTATCAGGGAGTTCATAAACAAAGATATTAGGTCTTAGTTCAGCGAGAGCACTGAAAACCTTCCTTTGCATGTTAAAGATGAACTTACTGTCATTGAGAAAATAATTGTCAGTAGTATCAGCAAGTTTTTAGATAGTATAATAAATCAAACTAAAAATGTTCACCACTTTTTTTTTTATGCATAATATCAGATGGTTTTGTCAACGAGAGAAGTCAACTCTAGAATTCTTATGAATTTTCTACAGAACACTATTCTGATCTAAATCACATACAGGCTGGTAGCTGGAAATATCAACTGTTGTCTTCATTACACTGTTTTAAATGGATTAAAAAAAGCCTTCATCTATGTCTAATGTCAATCCAACTTCCACTCAGTCTTCTGCAAGCAAACGTCTAACCAGGTTCAAACAATGTATGAAAAAGCAACTTACAAAGGTGTCAGCCAGCACCCCCCTCCAAAAAAAACAAAAAAAGAGAAAGGTCAGCCAGCACCCCCCTCCAAAAAAAAAGGAAAAAAGAGAAAAATGGCATATTCATGACTTGCTTGTACTTGCCAAGATCACACACTGCATTATCACAGCCCAAAATAAGTCTCAAAGGAAAAATATGAGTGAGTGTCCAAACTCAGTGAAGAGGGAATAAAAGATAACCATCACCACAAAGGAAAAATATGAGTGAGTGTCCAACGCAGTGAAGAAGGAATAAAAGATAACCATCACCGGGATATAAATTATTAACAGTATATTTGGATGCAGCTCCTAAAGCCCCATCTCAGCTGATACTTAGATGATTTTGATAAAACCCAGGAATGTTTTAGTGACTTATGAGAAAGGAATAATGGAAGGTGATGGTAAAATCCTCATCGGGTGTCTCTGTCACTATTTAGATTCGTTCTCTAGATCAGACAATCTCCAAAAATGCTTGCAAGGGAAGCATCAAGAATTTATAATAGAAGTGAAAGTCCCAGTCAGGACTGGTGAAATATAATGTATCACTCTGTACTTAAAAATGCCTGCAAAAATAGCCAATACTTGTTCAAACTGAGAAGGAAACATTAACATTTGACATAGCTATAATTATTTCACAAAACAAATAGGTTTTCAACTGCTATTGTCAATTCTTTTAGAGTAGACAAGAATATGTAAAAACTTAGTTACACAGACATCATTCTTTTAGAGTAGACAAGAATATGTAACAACTTAAGTTACACAGACATCCTGAAATTGCATTCTCATTAAGCAATGCATAACTGCATAACAGTGTATGATTGATGTAGCATAATACAAGTTTCAGGCACCAGTGTCAAAATATAAAGATATTCTGTGCAAATGACCCTGCTACTTGAAAAATCTGGCTGTGAATGGAGAAAAAGAAGTGTTCTGTGCAAATGACCCTGCTACTTGAACAATCTGGCTGTGAATGAAGAAAAAGAAGTTAAGTCAAGCAGACCATGTTGATCCCCTGACAGCATGTGAAATGGAGAATGAAAATAGGCAGCAAGCAACAGAAGTATTAAATGCTTCCCTTGTAACAGAATAATAATTGAAACCTATTTTAAATGCCTCCTCAAGTGCTTGTCCCCTCTTTCCCACATTTGAAATCCTAGCTCTCCACTTTCAGGCATATCCTGGAGTTCTATATAACTTCAAAGTTTGAATACTTAAGTAGCTCTAGATCTATCAGAGATGAAGATTTGAGAGTTAATAGTTTAAGGTGGCATCAGGTAGGAGCATTGGTCCCTTGCATTAATGTAGTTTTTAGTCAGAAAAGCACTATTTTCTTTTAGCATTTAAACCAACATATCATTTCAAATAATGATTAGAAACTGGGTCATTAACAATGCAGAAAAGAAGTGTTTCACACCAGGATTAACATTTACAGAGCTAAAAACCAGAATAAAAACAACAGACTTTTGTACTTACCAAAAAAAAATTAGACAACACAAAATAGGTAAGGAAAAGAAATCCTAGTGGGCTTTTCTGTTTGTTTAGGTGGGTTTGTTTGGATTTTTAAAAAACATTACCTGCTCTTCTTGTTGTAATGGCCTAGTTGTTATGGCAGCCATTCATACTCCAGCAGACTTCCACAAAAGGGTTAGGACAGACAAACAATTCTTGTTTTCTTCTGCAGCAGTTGAAAAAAAGATGCAAACAACTCCAAGTCAAAAAGTAAGATGCCACAACTTTCCACCCTTCCCATTTACTACTTCAACTCCTTCGCTCTTGTTGGGGAATAAATAGTCTGTGGCTAATTACCTTGATAGGACAACAGGAATCACCAGGTTAATGTTCACAAACCAAATTGCCAGTAACAGCCGTGGGACCTCTCATAGACCACAGGATTTTAACCCCTAGTTTACAGAAACAAAGTGCTGTAAAAGTCCATTCAGCTCTTACTTAACTTCACAGTTAAAAGTAGTAAGCAGTTTTGTGTAATAAACCTTAAGATTTCTTTCAGCAATTGCATGGTAGAGTACTTAAGAATCTATTTTCCAGTTTTCTGCATTTGTAGTAAATTGAGTTTTAGTGGGAAAGGAACTAATAGATATAAAAAAAATGATATATCAGTTTTACCTGTAAGGGGCTTGTTTTAAACTTAGGACTGAGTAAAATGAAAAAATATGTAATACTACGGTAATATAATTATACTTCTTTCCTTAAAAGGGAGTGTACACATACAGCTTTGGGTATGTATAATGAAGCTGTAGTTCTTAAACCATAGAAATAATTATATTTTCAGCAGACCTGCTGCTGTATTTGCATCACATCAATAAAGCATACTACACTTAGTGTGACTTGGTGCAGATGAAGTCACATCTGTGTAAGACTCAGTCAATAGTATTCTGCTTTGGGCAGAAGGGTTCAGCCGTGCAGAATTAGGCTCTCAGTCCACAAGATTGAAAAAAAATTAATGCTTGAAGTGACCTCCATCCACTTAACAATAGTCAACTGACAGTTTTACCTTAATTAGTGAATGAAAGCTTAAAACTAAGAGTCAGATAGGAATACTTACACTAGAAAATTTTAATTCTATTGAATGTAATACCAGTATTGAAAATTTAAACTCTAATCCTCTAATGACTGCAAAACTGCATAAAAATAGCGAAGTTCCACATGTGTATAATGGCTCTAAATAGCAGTGAAATAAATTGCCCATGTGAAAGAAGTGTCATGTGGATCCCTTGGAAGGAATCCTGTCTTTGTGCATTAAACCCATGTTTGTGGCAAATACCGTAATATTTTAGGATAGATTTGTGGTATATCCTTTAAGGTAAAATATTTCAATGTTCACAGGGTCATGTTTGTGGCAAATACCGTAATATTTTGGGATAGTATTTGTGGTATATCCTTTAAGCTAAAATATTTCAGTATTCACAGGGTGTGTAGAACAAGTTGTTGATTCAGTTTAGTTGAGCATTCAGCATGACTTTCCAATATCCTGATTCCTGAATGCATAATTACTTAACTTCAACATTAAATAACTACAGTTTAATATTTTATAAGTTGGGATAGAGTTAATATATTCTGTATGTGATGCTACTACATGAAGACTTTCAGATATTAATATTTAAATACTTGCCATTGTATATTTTCTGTCTATGGTTGGAAGTATGTCCTCATGTTGCTGTATCTTGTGTCTCAAAAAGCATTATGTAGTTCTGGTTCCACTTCCAAGAAAGTGGACTTGTAAAACTACCAAAGGCCCAAAGAATGGCATCAGTCATTCAGATATAAATGGCATAGAATAGCTATCAAACAAATCACTGTGTAGTTCTTTGCCTTAAAGCAGACTGAGTCTTAACCCAGAGATTTCTGGAAGATGGAAAAATGTAATAGATGTGTATATGACAGGTTTATTCTTGCACTCCCCTGCATGATATGTCAATTGCCCTTATCAGGGACAGGTTACTGGCTAGCTCAAGCTTTGCTTTGTTACTATAGATGTGTATATGACAGGTTTATTCTTACACTCCCCTGCATGATATGCCAATTGCCCCTATCAGGGACAGGTTACTGGCTAGCTCGAGCTTTGCTTTGTTACTGCATGGCTGGTCGAGTTCCTTTTAGTTTTACCCTAAAGGTGAATGAAACTGCAAAATCCCTGAATTTATTTCAGTCGTTTCTTTTCAAAATAGGTCTGAGAATACGGTTATTCAACTTCTCTCTCAAGCTACTAAGCTGTTTCTTGTACATAGTTCGTGTGCTCCTGGATGATCCTACACAAGGACTTGGATGGTAATGTTTGGGTTTTTGTTTTGTTTTTTTCTTTTTTTTTTTTTTGTGGTTTTTTTTTTTTTTTTGTTTGTGGGGTTTTTTTGTCATTTCTGCTCTCACACCATTAAGCTATAAGAAATAAATTGATGAATGCATGTTTGATATTCCATGAACGAGGATTTGGTTTTATGTTTCACAGACATTTTGAAAGAATTGTAAAGCCAGTCTTACGTATTTGCATTTTCTAACAAGATCATATATATAATAATCCTTATTATTCTATATATATTAACCCTTATATTGTATTGTGGTACATTTGAGAGACTAGTTAGTGTGTTCTGTCTCTGAATAACATTTGTCTGGCTGAGGAGTTATAGACAAACCCTTCTACATGCTCAGCCATACCAGACAAACCAGCCCTGTGCCCAAATGGTACCCCATTAATGTCAGTACTTTTACCCATAGAGATCCTGAGGGGTTGAGACCGAACCTACTGCCAGAATGTGGTCTTAAAAATGTGGTGATATGAAAGAAAAAGTAATTTCTAGATACTGTGTCACGGCTCAATGAAAGAATCTACTCAGTGTGCTGACAGCATGGACGCAGAAAGCATTTTCACCCGGTTCTTTTGAAAGTGACAAATCTAAGAGGAATGCTTTCTATCAGATTTGTTTCCTGTTTTTTAGAAATGCCTGTACAAGTTAGTGTCTTTCATTCACTCCTTCAGGCACAGCGGGTGTACAGAAAGGAGCTTAAGGCATAACATATCCTTATTAATGGATACAATTTAGCACCCATCCCACTCATAGCTGGTAAAAATACAGTTGCTAATCTGTGGTCTGCAGATCCCTTTCTTTTCTGCTGACCTTGCTTGCCAAGGATAAACAGAGATATTTTTCACAGGGGTGTATATTCCCACATCCTTACATGACCATTTGAAGGGAGGTTTGTGCCAGAAATTCAAGGCAAGATAACATCACGTGTATAGCAGCCAATTTTTTTACTTAGGCATCACCAGTTTTGTACTTGAATTACTTCTGCATGAGTCTCCAGCTCTCCTCACATCCTCAGAAGAGGATATCAAGTGTAGTTTGCTGCAATGAGAGTGTGGCAGGCATATGTGCTCTATCACAGCCTGTCCGTGTGGTAGGGTTTCTAGTATCTCTTGATCTTCAGTGTATATTGTGTAATTAGTTCAGTTTTACAATGTCTAATTTCAGTTGTTTTATTTTGAGATAAAAATGTAATCTGAAATGCTTCCTAGTCCTTTATCTACAGATATGGAGCACATACAGCAGTATTTTCTTCAAGATACTTTACTTTTAAAAATATGTGTATCCATTTCCCAGGGTGTCAAATGGCTGCATGCATTTTATAGAACACTTAATAATATAATTAATATCCCTTTCCTTCCATATGTTTTTATGACTGTCTTCCCATATACATTTGCTGATGGAAATGGACATTGTATGGATGGGATGATGACTATCAGTAAGGAATTAAACCGGAGTTGTTCCAATCAAAACTACACACCTGGGACAATTGATTGGTGAGTTCCTCATTTAAAAAAGCAAACCAAAAGTCCACGTAATGGTAGGGAGGGAAACAGGAAGACAAATCCATTTCCTTCTGGAATGGTGACATTTTAACATAATTATGATGTTTGCATAGCACTCAAGCAATTACGTTTCTGAACGTTCAAAACTGCCTTTAATATTTCAATTGTTTCTCTGATTGCATAAGAGAACTTCTGGACCGGATGCTCTTGTGAGAGATCCGATTTCCATCAAAGCTCATACCTTGCTGAAAAAAAAATGGATGCCCTTATTTGAAAAACAATTCTGACTGTCAGTAAATGGCTAATGGTAAACAGTGATGCCATTGAATACATCAGATTCCAGTGGCACTGCACGAAGTGCTTGTTAGCATTGAGTTGAGTAAGTACTAAGACAAGATAAGATTTTTCAGATATGACAGCCCTGAAGAGTTAGATACCATTTACATCACTACACAGGTAGCAAAAAGTTCACAGAAAAAGATTGTCAGTTTCCCACAGAATCCGAATGATTGGCTCCGGATTAGAAATACAAGCAATGTCAATACTCAGTTGATAACAGTTTTCATTACTGAGATTTATTTTTTTTTTAATAAGGCTGCTCAAAACTCCATTCACATATATAAGTTTTTCTGTTGTTGAGAACAGATTTTGATTAATTTCATATCTATCTCCTAATTATAATAAACAGGTCTCCCATTATCTGGGTGAATCGAAGCTTACCTTTATGGGGATTACAGGTAATATGTTAATGACCAATTTAACTACTTCTGTTTAATAGCTGTAGCTGATGTTGATTTATAGCAATGTTAAAGGATACATGGAAAAGTTGATATTAGCAAGGAAATCTACTTGAACACCAAGTACAGCAACAGCATAAAGATAAGCTGATCTAAGCTGATTTGAATTTATATTGCTTTAAAATATATTTCCAAAGTATTAAAGCTTATAACAAAATACTGCAGAATTAGATGGCCTTTTCTCTTAGAATTTTCAAGCTCTGTTGAGTCAAATAGTCACTGTTTAATAAGTTTAAATTTCATAGTTGCTTATAACTAGCTTTTGGCATACTTTATGGACTTTCTTGTCAGATGCACTAGAAATCTAAAGTAACTTCATCATACAGAAGCTTACATGCCAGCAGGTCACAAAAAATGCACTACATCAGTACTTTGTGGGAGATATTTTGAAGTTTGTGGTTCATTCCTCAGTCTCCTGGAATGTTCTCATTTTAGGAAGACTTTTTTTGACTCAAGGACAGTGCTGTGAGAATTCTCTCTGTGAAATATGTTTGTCTACTGAGAATTACTTAAGCTTCCAGAATGATTACACCATTATATTCTCTCACCATGATTAGTGCCATGACATTACGATGATTTGTACCTTGATGTAATACACAATTTTATTAAGGGAAAAATCCCTTATTGACCTTTCAATTCCTTGCTTAAATTATGCACATTCCTAATGATTTTTTACCCAGACATTCAGATTAAATTTTATAAAAAAATACTGAGATATTGATTTGCTTATGTATACAGTCATTTTCTAATAAGTTTATTTGATAAACATAGGAATTTATGCATATGTGTATACACATTAGAATACAAATACTTGCTATGCAAAGGATTTAAGTAAGTTTTATAGTTATTTTATAGTTATATCTATAAAGCTTTAAGGTTTTTTTTACAATTTTGATATTTGACTATCAAAATATTTTTAAATCACATAATACATATACTAACTACCTATGATCTAAGTGAAGGCTGCTAAGCAGAGCTCAGTTGCCTTTAAATATTATAATCAGTAACGTAATCAACAGTCAAATCTGTAACATTTTTTGCTGCTTTCAGCTTTCTGAATTATACACAGTAAGAAAAGTGTTTGCATTTCCACACATTCATAACATCTGTACAGGAAAGTAAAGAGCTGTCTGGCTTCCAATATTTACAGCTTCCTTCTTCTCTCTCTCTGTCTTGTGAAAAGATCTCAGTACCTCTTAGGGACAGACAAATGAAACTTGAGAAACAATCTGGCAGACTGTGTATGGAGCTCTCTAAAAACTGTGGAAAGACCATGCTGCAGGAGTCTCTGGAGTCTTAGACTTGGAAAAGAGCAATGAGATTTAAGTCATAGCCTGTGGTTTACTCAGAAAAATAAAAATATTTAAGCTTCATGCTAAATGGTGTTAGCTGAGATGGTTTCAGAGGGTGCATGGAAAAGCTGTTTTATACTATCATCCATTTTCATTGCAGTGTTCAATGTCATATATTCTGTAGAAGCCAGTATTAATACATGTTTTATCACTTCACTTAAGGTGTCTGTGGCTTTAATAAGTCTCTTTGAAACTCTGCTGCTAAGTTATCTAAGCTACAAGGTAAGTACTTTCTGTTACAATTCATAACAAAAAGTAGCCAAGTTAAACGTTAATACCGAAATATTATCTTCATGTACCTGTGCCCACACTGGTGTACAAGCAGTAGGCTGAGAAAAACACACACTAGGGGATGGCATATGGTCACAGGCAGCCCTGTTTCCCAAATTTATGAGCAAACTCAATATCTAGACCACGGAAGTCAGAAATTAAATGTTCACTATTTTCCATTGTCCAGTGGTACATTTTAATTTGAAAACATACTCTCAGAAATGACTTTGATTTTTGTATTTTTCAGTTGCACAGTTTTATGTCTGTGCATAATGTATTGGACATGATTCTCACTGATGTCAAAGCTGTAGCTACTCAATATGTATAACTCAACTTTGAGGCCTCTAAAATTGCACACCAAAAAACTAGGCCAAGACAGTACTATTTTTTTTTTTAAATTATGGGTACTTACATGCTTGTGCTATCCATCTCTCTGATGCCATGGGAACATCTTTGCAAAATGCCTTGAAATCATTTGATATGAATACAGTATCTTTTGGTATTTGCATTCTCCTTTAACATTTGTATTTTTCAAAAATTTTCATTCTCTTTTCGTCATTACATTTTGTTATGCAATATCCTAATGAATTTTAGGTTCTTTGCATTTTTAGTATCTTCAGGAGAAAAATATGAAAATCATTTGCAAACATTTATGAAAGAAAATATTAAAAGATTTGGTTTCTAAAGTTGAAAATATTTTGGAGCATAATCTTTTTTTAAAATTTTTTTTTGGTGTTACTGACATTCAGCAGCTATCAGAGTCACCACTGAATTTAGAGCCTTGTACTTAGCATGCTTATCAAGTGATTCTAGCAGAAATGTTTTCCTTAGTGCTCAACAATACTGAAGCTTGCAATTGTCTGCTGTCTAAAAATTCTTCTTTTTATCCTTGGAGCATGTACTATTCAGGTGTTGGGGGTTAAAAATGCAAATCAATTACAGGCAGAAACAATCCAAAATTTGCATACCTAGTAGCAAAACAGTAAAGAGCAATCACAATTTATACTGTTCCTGACTTTATTTGGCAGCATTTTATCCCTATCCATTCACCTGTGATCTGCATCAGTTTCACTGAGTATGGAAGCTGAGAGAGATATTTGCAAGTCAACTTCCATGAGAAGTTACTTATCAGATGTAAAACTCTACTATCCTGATTTGCTGCATTGAGTCAATTTTATGATGGCTCTATTTCCACTCCCCTTAAGGGGAAGAACTATATCTAAGGACCAATCTAAGGAACAATAAAGACACTGAAAGGCACTTTGGAAATCTACCTGATGCAAACACCTCCTTCTCTCTGGTCCTGTTTTCTTAGTTACAACCTGGAAATGTCATGATAGGGCCATTTACCCCACTTTTGCACAAGTCTCAAGAAGCCACACTGACTGTTATTTCAGCCACTGTAAGGCTTTCATGTGCAGCCAGGGTGACCAAAGATGTCTTGGTTCATGTAAATCTGTGACAGATTACTTGTTTTCTGCCAACATTTCCAAAACTTTAGCAATTTAAGTACAAGTCAGAGAATTAGCCAGGATGAAAATAACAAGAAAAAGATGATTGTGCTGGCATTCATGTGCACATTACTAGGATTTCATGAATAACCTGCAAAATAAATAAAGCAGTGTTTTGAGAGAATATTCCAAGGAATTTATCTTTCTGATACCCAGCTGATGTCATATGAGAAATGATGCAACATGCAGAATAGTGAGGACATAGTAATATATCATGCTACTAAGATACAGTAAATTTGCATTTATATGGTGAGGAATGCAAAGAATGTAGCACACTGTTATACTGCTGATCACTTGGATCCAAGAATGAATGGTTTACAATCTGCATTCTCACAGCTTAAACCATTACATGAGAGTTTGCCCTTGGCCAGAATTCTGAAAGATGTCTACATCCATTGTCAAAACTTGCTACAGACATCTGGCAATCCTAAGATATCACTGGCACACAGACAGTCTTCGATGCTTGTAGCAGTACCACACATTCTCACTGCAAAAGGCAGTTTTGCAGAAGACATGATGCATTTATGTGTGGAAGCCAGAATCTTACAGCTGCATGCATCCCTAATTGCCTGGAGCCCATCCACATGGGCATTTTGCCTGCACAAGTAAATGGTGTGACATTTCATTTCTATACAGCAGAGAAAAAAGCTCTTAACATTAAAAATGAAGAAATTAGTGAAATCACGAAATGGGCCAGTTTAAAATATCAGATTTTGTTTTGATTTAATTATTCTTACAAAAAATCCTTGGATTACGTGCTCATAATTTCCCTTCAGTTTTACAGAGCTGCTTATCACATGAAATATTTAATATAATTCATGTATATCTGATTCCCACCAGTTACAGTTATATGGATATAGATACAGTGGCTTCCAGATGTGGCAAGTTAAAAATGGAAAAAGAATTTTATATGCTGTGGAGTTTGTATTTAATTTTCAGTGGTTATATCGGATGGTTATTTTAACAGGAAAGATGAATATTTCATTGCAACTGAAGATATACTGCTCTACTGCAATTCCTTTAAATACTGCCATGATATATGCTACATGGTTATTGCATTACCTATGAAAGAGTCTGGACATACAGCATGAGTACAATTGTCAGTCCCTGATGTTCAAATAGCTTCTTTTATATATATATGGATTTTCATCCCAACATTTAATCATTCACAGCCACTGCTCAGATGTGGAAAATAGTGTTATCTCTATCCTGCTGCTAGCAGTAAGCAAATTAAAAGATCAATACCACTTTCATTGAAATATGTGGGAAGACCTCTAATTTCATGAAAGTGAGATCAAGTTCCAAAAAGCTCTGAAATGTACTGAAGTGTTCATGGCAGAAATGCAGAACTCGATGTTGTATTCCTAACACTGGATCGTCTTCCTTATTTCCCTCTTCAAAACAGTTGGGAAAGAAAAAATAAGAATGTCACCTCCTTATCTGTGTGTAAGTGGGCATGTGAAAATAAAAGTAATCTTTGAAGAACAAAAAAGCAGAGACAGGGTGTCTGTGTATGGTTCCAAGGTACCTAAAAGAAGAATAGAAGACAACAAGAGCTTATTATTCTCTGAAAAAAATGAAAGCTTAATTTAATGAAGCGCTTTATTAGATGAGGGAATGAGTTGTCTAATTAATGCAATTAGAATTCTTCATTTAAGTTTTCTTACTAACTAGGTCATAGCAAGGAAATATATAGTCCTATGGAAACAGAGGATTGCACTGGTAAAAATATAACTTTAAAAGTATATATGCTTTTCTTGTGAGGTACATTATGATAAACAGTAAGAAAAAGAATCCAGAGTGGTCTATATTCTATATTCACATTTGACATATGTGTTTAAATCTGAGATGAATGATTTTCTTGAATTTCAGGTAGTGGGAGAGACTCCATATGTTTCATTGGAATATCACATGTATTTCTCATCAGAACTATATGTAAGCCTACTGTGACACTGTGGGTTTTTTCTTTTCTTTGAAGGGAAATATCTGGGAACAAATTCTGAGAATACCCTTTCTCCTGGAAATTATTAATGCTGTCCCTTTCATCATCACGGTAAACATATTTGACTTAATACATTTACACATTGCACTTTTATACTCTTTCATTTTTTTAAAGTAAATTTGAATCTTATGTGGATGAGAAGTTAGATGCCTATGGGAACAGAAAGTTGTCAGCAAGAAGTTAGTTCGCTATTTGAGTGAAGTAATAATACAGATCACTTTCCCCTTCCTCTTCAATAGGGCAGAAATAAAACCAAAACCCTCTAACTCAAACTACAGTGCAGTCAATAAAATAAACCAACTGGTTATATAAATGTAGGAATCTCTCTTGTCTGCAGTGAAAACTGACTGTTCTTATTTTATCAAATTATCTTGCATGTGGTTAATCACAAAGGAAGAAAAAAGATGTTATTTAAAGCCATATCTCATATTAGAGACACATTAATAGTAAGTATTTTTCCAAGTGTTTCATTGCTGCTTGAATAGAAAAGCTCTATTCCTCATCAGAAAAGCTTCCAATGCATTTGTTAAATTTTCTTTCAGATTTTCTGGCCAGTCCTAAGAAACCTGTTTATTCCTGTATTTTTAAATTGTTGGCTGGCAAAGCATGCTTTAGAGAATATGATTGTAAGTATGCAAAGGAAACAAACATTTTAGAGTTTATGTTTTCTTAGTTTATTGTCTTCAGTAGGATTTTGGCAGTACAGTCCAACCTTAATAGGAAGCTAACCAGATCTATATTTAGATTATACAAATGGTCAAGCATTATTAAACTGCTTTCTACATCAAAATTAGGAAAAACATAAGACGTGAAATGAAATCTCAATTAGTATATATAGTTACTGTGCCAATAAAGGAAAGCTGGAATGGCTGTTTCTTTTGCTGCTCTGCCATTCATACACAATTGCAGGGAACTCAACTGTTAGGCCTTAATTGGTCCTTGCAGCCTGTAATTTGTAAGCTAGACATGAGCAGACAGACCTGCAGCCTGCAATAGTATCAGAATTGTGCTGGGATGAACAAAGAACTAGTTAAATAATCACAGAATCACAGCTGGCTCTTTTGCACACTTCTATATTATCAGCAAATTCTAAGTGCATCTGAATGATTGCATTTCTATCTGGGCACTATATAATTCCTCTATAGAATGAGCTCATGGCTTATTAATTCAAACCTCAAAATAATACCCATTTTCCGTTAATGCAGAATGATCTTCACCGAGCCATCCAACGCACACAGTCTGCAATGTTTAACCAAGTCCTCATTTTAATATCTACCTTATTATGTCTTATCTTCACTTGGTAAGTGGCCAAAATCCCTTTGTTTTTATTACATGTATTAGCTTGTCTTTCTTTACTATGTGGTGATAAAACAGGCCTTGTGCAAACCATGCATTGAAAGAAGAAGAGTAATATACTTAAGTGAAAGTGTTAACTAGGACCAGGTACTACTGAGGTCCTGATACACTAGGTTTGGTAACAGAATTTGCATACTTTTGAAAGCGAATCATTCTCACCCTTTGGAAGGAAATACAGAAGATGCAAAAACACAGGAGGGAAAAATTTGCATACGTACCAAGAGTGCAATCTCAACAGATAAATCACTCAGATTTGAAGAGTACCGGCAGAAGTATATTGACCCATAACAAGGTCACTTTCCTCTGGCAGGACAGAGAAAAATATCCAATGTGTCAGGCTTAACACTTCGACTAAATTAGATTCCCATAAGGAGTACAGGGAATAACTGTTGATATCCAGGTTACAGAAAGTGTAGAATTTATTAATCTAGAATACCAATAGTAGAGGATGGTAGGTTCAAACAACCAAAACATGTTACTCTGCTGCACATTTTGTTGCAAGACCATAAAAACTTAAATTTACATGACTTTGGGAAGCATGGAGGAAAATGTATGAGGGTATTAAATACAAATATACTTGGTTAATGAAATTCATGTGCTGCAGGTTATTGGAGGCTAGGAAAGGATCCACAGGAAACACCACTTGATTGCCCCATTTTTATATTATGCCTTAGAGATCTGCTGTTAACCAGGGCTGGAGGTGAAGATAGACTGCCTGAGTCTTTGGTCTTACACAGTATGGTCATGCTTATGTTTGTATGAATGGACAGTGCTTATAAAGTAGCTTGGTAGCTTACTTAACACACAGAATTTTCTCATCAACAGTTCCTGAGAAGTGAGTATCATAAACAAGGGGAATACGAGATGGTGTACAGTGTTATACAAGATGGTGTACAAGGGGACAGTAAATAGAGACGATGATTCTGTGTGGAAAGGCTAAATCACCTGTATTTATTTTGCCAGACAAGGTGCCTTTAGGTCAGCACACTGATAAAGTTTGGCCTGTCATTTTGGAGACAGTGATTTGATTTTCTCTTACTTTATTTCTCTAGCTTGCTTTTCTGATTGTCACTGTTATGTGCTGCCTAACCCTTTTGGTAATAACAGTGAAAAATAGTATAAGATCTCTTCCAGTCTTGTCCCTGTCAGTCCTTTATTTGAGGAGTTTGCTGTAGCCAGTGGCTAAATGAATGTTTCAATTTTACTCTTTGTCTTAGGGCCACACACCTGCATAATGACAAATGCTGCCTGTTCTAAACAGGAATCAATTTTTGTGATATTTAATTTCCTATTGAATATTATGGTCCTTTAATATAAAATTTCATATGAATAAGTACTACGATAGTTGAACCAAAATGCATAAAATTCTATCACCGTAGGATGTTTTTGACTCTAATTTGCTTTTAATTGTTTACAATACAAGGCACTATTGAGTAAATATGCCTTCACCTTTTTTACTTCAACATTTTACTGAACTGCTGAACGAAATATGTATCATGCCATTGTGATAACCGACAGTAAAACATGAAGAAAATGGCAAGCTCACCTACCGTAATTATGTCTGTGTTCAACGGCTGCAGATACAACCTCATTATAGATTGCTATTTACTGACCTAGGACTGACCTTTCTAGACTGCAAAATCAGCTAAGTAAGATGAAAACACCCAGTAATGCAATAACTAAGGAAGTGAAGTGCTTTCAGAATGACTAAGAATAGTAGTTCAGACATCTGCGGCTAGAGTAAGACTGGAGTTCTGTTTAGGCAATTGTTACTATTGTTTACATGAACATACATAATGTCATTTTTTCACATTTTCACTTATATTACTGATTATATATAAATATAAAAAAATTATACATAAACGGTCAAAACCAATTCACTTAATGTCTTTGATTATGTTACATCTATGGTGAATTTCAGACAACGTTTAATTTTAAGAGACATTGTTTAGAGTTTACATGAGTTTCTTCATGCTGATAGAGTACTAAAGTCCATTGCTGGAATCTGTCCGCTTAAGGATGTCTTTCACCCAGCTGATCATTCACATTTTCTGCAATGGAAAGCAGTAACCGTTTATATTACCCCTAAACACGTATGGGTACCATCACTAAATTTATCCATACATTTCATGGAGCACAGCACATGAAACATTTGAGCTAGCACCAGTGTGTTTTCATAACCATGTTTTGGCTATGTTTAGAAATACTACCCTGGTCCATGTAGTACCATTGCTTCAGTAATGCAAAATGAATAAGCCTAGATTAGCAGGTTGAATAGAGTGCCTTCAGTTCCAGAGCACTTTCCCTGTAGAGTATGAAGGACATGCTCATGGTGTGTTTTTGGCCCCACTGATAACTGCCCTCATCATGCCTCCCTGCTGACCAGTGACTTTCAGGCACTGTGTTGATCCAATTGCAACACCGCAGCCCTCCCTATCTCCTGGCTGACAGACTTGCTTGTACCATCTGCTTCAACAGCAGCATTGACTTCTCAGCACTTGTGAAGTCAATATAACTTTATAATACATGTTAAGTTCTGTTCAAAGCCATGTTTTTTTTATGAGACATACAGAAAGAGATGGCATGTAGCTTCATATGGGAATGACACCACTTTTTAAGAAATGTGAGATGGTATGAAGGCCAGAAAGATTCCTCATCCACTTTGCTCCTGTCTGCCTATAAGCATTTTCAAAATAATTTCTACCATAACTAGCAGAAATTCCACAGAAAATTAATTAAATTTCACCTCATGCACCATGAGCAAACCCATCAGTTACATCTCCACATCAGAATCTTGTAAGTGCTGATTACACATATGGTACATTCCAATTTATGGCTTACAACTCAGGTGTAAGCTTTCTGATGAAAAGTTAAAAACATAAATTATCTAATGTTTACACCTAATTGGCTAATCTCACAATATTTAGATATCATTATCCAAACTGTCCTTTGCACTCAGAATATAGTATAAAAAGGCTTCCTCTGTGTCTTCCTATGCAGCAACTGTCCTTTGCACTCAGAATATAGTAGAAAAAGGCTTGCTCTGTGTCTTCCTATGCAGTTGACAGTTTTCAACATTATTACGGAACAAACAGTAATCACGGCAAAATTTATGCTCGACTCCACTCTGATCTTTGGTGATAATTGTTTATGGATCTGCGGATGGAACTCATTTTCAGATCAATAAATTCACGAGACCAAATCCATGTATCTATAGTTTACAGACTACATACAAGGATTTTTTTTCTCTTTTCTTCTGACTACGAAGACAGATTAGGACACCCAGTAATTTTCTTTCTTTAAATACCTCAGTGGTCTTCTAACCAGAGCAATTATACATCTACTAAAACGTGTATACTACTATATAACACTGTTCAGCAGTTACTATTGATAGAGTTCTAGTCAAAGTTACAGACCTAGTCAAAATATATGTTGTGTCATTTAGCTAATGGATGTTTGCACTTGTTTGTCAAATAGAATACTAATTATTTCTGTAAACTGTGCAAGAAGACAAATAACAGTGAATGAATATTTCAGGCACCTTTCTGTGACACAGTGAATCATCTGTTAAGACTTATTTTGAATTTCAAAACAGTGTTAGTCATATATCACCAGTGTAGAGTGATCAGCTTGTGAGGAAGGTGGCCACAAACTGTTGGAAATGGACACTTTTTTCATACTGAAGACTGAGAGGCTTGCACAAAGTTTGCTTATGCTTTCATTGACAGCTCACTGAGGTCAATCTTAACATTTTTAACACATCTATGCTTTCAGCATCAGAAAATAAGGATGTTTCCACACAATAACTTATAGAATAAACATAGAATGCCAGTACTGTGGCCTCAATGTCAACTACACAGTCAAAATTCTCATCTGGAGAAAACAGTATGAGTAAGTTGCTTGCAAGGATAGAGACAAATCCAGAAAATGATCTAGCCCAAACAAGACAAATCAAGACCTTACAATTTGGAACACTATGTCGCAAAAAAACCCTACCCAACCAACCAAAAAAAGGATTAATCACACAAAATATTAGAGAATAAAAGGCTTCTCAGTGCTCCAGTTCCCCTTAGTATCAATAAGTACATACAAACACCTCAGAAGGTAATCTGAAGGGAAGAAAATCACCACAAGGAGGTCTATACTTCTCTATCCTGTGTTGATTTTTTACATTACAATGGCAGTTCTCCAAGAAAGATGCCTAGCATTAAGTAGGAAGAAGAGTGTTGGTGGATTATGTAATTGAGAATAAAATGTGGTTTTTTGGGTCTACAGTTCTTTGTGTGATGCTCTGTTTTGCTGTACAGCAGTCTCAGGGCTCAGAACCAATCTGAGTTTGATTTAGAGAGGTTTTCTGCATTCAAGGACAGCAGAAAACAGAACTGTGTTTCTGCCTTTTAGAATCCAATGATTCTGAAGTGGTAAAGCACATGAAGACTCAGGACCTAACAGACTAAACAGGAGTTGCAGAATTTCAATCCCAGAATATTACAGGACATTAATTGAAAGTTCTAAGTAATTGTAAACAATGCAAAATAAATTATTCAACTAATACAAGAATCCCACAAAGTAATGAAATAATAGCAGTTGTACTTTTCTTTCTCTGTAACAAAGATCTGTCAGGAACTTGCTGGAGTCAAACAAAGGATCTCTATTTTCTGGTTTGAAATATTCCTATGCAATTCTCTCCAAACATAAAAAACAAATCTAGAAGTAGGTCAAGTAGCACATGCAGTACCTTCCATATCCATTGTACCAACTCCCACCCTACCCTTGTCCTGCTTCCCAATTGCTGGAATCAGGGCAGCACTTATGGGTAGTTTTCCTGTGCATGTGTACAGTTAGAATTGAGGTCTACTTCAGACACTACCTTAACACTTCCTGAAGTGATGGCACAATGAAAAGGCTGTGCAGCTGCTGGAAGGTCAACAGCAAAACATTTCT